ATTTGAAATGGTTAATGTCATAAAAGAAAATTAATTAAAAATTTCGTTAGATGAGAATCTTCTAACAGAACATTTTTAAGAATTTGCTTTTTTTTTCTTTTTCCTCCCTTTAAATATTCATTAATATATATTTTATTAATAAAATTAACACGGCGATCGATGTTTATAAAATTGGTTCTGGTGATTATTAATAATTAATGGCTCAAAAGTCAGTTAACCGGAAAGCTTAAATTTTTCTCTTATTAATTAAAAACAAAAATACACGAATATACTTTTTAATTGCGTTTTTATTAATTTTGTTAAAGGAAGAAAAAATAAACACATTTTATTAAAATTAATTCACGATTTATGTTTACGTCTCTGCGATTTATTGATATACAGGGTGGTCCAAAAATTAGTTAACCGCGCTTTGATCGTATTCAAATATTTAATTATACTTTTTATCACGTTTCGATGTAGTTTTAAAACAAGTTTACGATATATATTCGTAAATCTAGATATACTGAGTATAACGCTGTTAACTGATTTATGGTCCACCCTGGTATTTATTCAATAAAAAATCTCTTAAAATAAGTAATGTTTTCGAAGATATTTATTAAAAGAAATCGATTCGATTCTCGGATTAAACAAGTTTCTTTTTCAATTTAGTTGTAAAAATTGAATAAATTTGTTAAAAAATTTATTATTATTATTAATCTAATAATACTTCTTCTAGAAATGAAAGGAAGATTTTACTATACTTTCACGCGATTAATTAACAGGAAAGAAAAAGGAAATTTTTTTTGAAGTGTTCGAAAATAATTGTCTCATATAATATACATTGCAATGGAAATGTGTCAGAAATTTATGAGTTTCAATTGCTTTTAAACCACGTTTTTTCTCCCTCTTCTTATTTAAGTGTAGTTAAGAAAACTCGATAATAAGCTACAAGAGAATTTTTATTAGAAGTGCTCTTAAAGAAATTTAAGATTTAATTACAAGAACCATCACGAAATTGCTTCTTGTACAATTATTTTCTATGGAATTTCTTGTGTTTTAGGAGCACTTTCTCTTTCTAAAAACGATTTTCATTTGCGCTATCTTTAACGATTTAGTAGAATAAAATTGCCTTAGGTGATAAAGAACTAAACCTATTTATTGCACTGGATACAGTGTTATATGTTACAACTTTCTATTGTCAATAACAGCGGTTACTCTTTATTATTATCATTATATTCTTATATTTTCTTACTTTACCTCAATCGTTAGAAGTGATAAATGTTAAGTTCTTCTTATTGAAAAAAATGATATTACCTTTATGTATGATAAATGATTATCTAAAGCTAGTAAAATACAAAGAAAAAAGAACAACAAAAAATTACTCTTTATTTTTGAAGTGAAGTTTGTATAAGATTTAGGGAATAAGTGACAGTGATTAAGATTTACGCAGTTAAAGAAAGCCAAAGACAAATAGCTTCTGCAAAGTAGAAAGTTGTTGAACAGAAAGGAAAAAAATAGGAAAAAATAAACAGGAAAAATCTCTAATGTAGTGTTTTTCAATCTTGTTTAGTTGATGATTCATCCCCCTTTAGCGTGCTAGAAATTCGTGGCATTAGTTAAGAATGCGATTCACCAGTCTCCTTGGGGACCGCGATCCACTTGCTGAAAAAAAAAATAAAGTCTAATGTATCTTGTGATAATTAAAAATAAAGAATGATCGGTTTCTTTGAAAATATCTTAAAATAAAATAGTTAATTTCTCTCTTAGATGTAAAGTCCCGTAATCAAGCTAGGGATTGCCATCAATCTGTTGAATATTAAGCTGTTTTTGAACAAATTGTAGACCTAAATTCCCACTTATTGTCCTTCCTTAATCTCGAGAGAATGAACTTAGATATATGAAAATCGAGACCAGATGTGGAAAGATTATTAGCAGCAGGCTTCGATTAACTATATAAGAACTACCGGTCTAAACCGGAAATCACGTCATTTCAATTCAAAAATTTTTCCCGACTCTATTGCTTACAGGAAAAATATGATTTACAGGGGCAAGACTACCAATTCGAGATGAAAAGCATATATTTTAAATTAAATAAATTAGAAATATGATTAAAAGTTACAAATTAAAAATTATTTGAAATTTATAAAACGATATTTGTTATTACATAAAAAGTAGAAAGAGATTACTGAACCATTTGACAATAAAAGTATCTTTGGGTTCGCGATCCACCGATTGAGAAACCGAATATCATTGACTCTATTGATAATTTTAAAAAATTCAGGAAGATATTTACTTTTTAAACATTTTCAATATAAAATAATAATCTGGAGATTCGAAAGCAAGAACATTAGAAAAGACATTAAGAATGGTAATGACGCTATTTAAAATACATAAAATACTTTTTTTTAGTAAAGACTACTAAAATTCAACCTTTTAATTATTTTTCTCCACTTTACGTAGCAGTTAGGCATTTAAAAAAAATTTAGAAAATGAAATAGGTTGTATTAAAATCGCATTAAATTCGTAATTAGACGTTATATATTTATATATTATTTTTAGTTTTGATATTTTTTTCACGTTCGAAACTAAAGATAGGAAACGTCGTGGTTTAGAATTATTTGCTCGAGCAACTTGACATTCATGATGCCTTTTGACTCGAAACTGCCTATAATGCCACAAAGATCTTTCCTTTTACTATATAAGGTATTACTTTACTGTCTGTTCGAATTTTTTACACCGCATAAAGTCGCGTGATGTGAAAATTTCAATAATATTTAATTACAGAAACACTGACTTTTTACGTTTTTCATTAATAGAAAATTGAGATGAGAACATTTATCTGAAAAAAATATATAGCAAAAATTAAACACATTTCTAAGATTCGAGTTACAGAATTTTGATAAGAGAGAGGGGGAAATAAACAAGAATTTACGTCATTGACTTGGAACCCTTCCAAATTTTTATAAAGGATTATTTTGCTGGCGATACTCAGAAATATCATGGGATGTAACTATACACAACTTTCAATTTACATTTGATCCAATTTCAATTTCTTAAACAATTTTCATCGTCTTTAACTTTAAAACAACTTTCTTTTTCAATTAATTTATTATAAAACTTTTTAAATAAAAAAGAAAAAAAATGGAGAGAGAAGGTGAGAGTGGGAAAGAGATAAAGAAGATCAATTCATCACCCATTACTTATAATGGAATACATAAATATTTAATAAAGCAAAATAATCATTTTTTAAAATAAAATTAAAGGGCTAATAAATGGGTTATTGTTACTTTCAACCATTTTTCTTTATGAAAAAAACATTACTTACAATCGTTTTCATTTAACAATAAGGTGAGGAACAGCTGTTATCAATAGATTTGCAATGGTTTTCTGTTGCTATAAGATAACACTACTCATTACAGGGATCATTCATATACTTTCTATGCCATTCTTCTCCAAAAATTATTCTGTAATAAAGAAAAAGCAAAGAATTAAATGACATTTATTAAATTTACACATTAACAACATTTGTAGTCTCCTTTTTTTTAAGGAAGAAAACTCAGAGATAAGCAGGTGAAGAGCTAAGATACTAAACACAATTTATACAATTAATCATATCATTTATCCTTAATAACATTATTTTCAATAATAATGTCACAATTAATTAATGATCCTTTTATTTTAATATCGTTTTTTGTTTGGTTACGTATTTAAATATTTATTATTAATTAATCTTTGAAAAATTTTTATTACTCGTTTATTAACGTTTTGATATATTTTAAATTGTAATTTTTTTGAAAAAATTTCTAAAAAATTTCGTTTTGTACATTATCAAAAATAAAAAAGCCCTCTCCTGTTACTTATAATGAATATATTTAGTTAGTTATTTCTGGAATAATGTATTTTTTGCGTGATGATCAATCACTTTGAAGCATTAATGCGAACGAAACAATAATAAACATTATCCAATTTATAAATAAAAAAAATTACAAATTAGTTGATTAAAAAAATGAAAAATATCCAAAGAATAAAATCTCAGTTNAAAGAAGATTAGAAATTCTCGAATTCGTACATTTTTCTGATTTTTATTATTTATTTTTTAACATTTACTCATAAAACTACGTAATTCCGGAAGAAAACATAAAGCACGAATTGGAAAAGTGATGAAATTTAAGGTTAAAGCGGATGAAATTGATAAATGAAGAATTGCAAAACGAGTCATTCAATTAAAGGAATTATGATTAATTTAAAGCAATCTTTTCGGAGGAAATTTGTAATCAATTATCTTCCGGAAAATTAAAGGATTAGTAAAACATTCATGTCCATAACCTATGAAATCCGATCGGCTGATAAAGTAAATAAAATGTTCAGACTTAATCCAACTTCTGCTTTTATTGAATTAGTAATCAAAATCAGTATCAGTTTGCTCATTGAATAAATGTATTCTCCTATCTAAATAATGTCTTCTTTTTTTCTGCACTTTTCTTTTTAATACTACACAAATATTTTGTCGCCTAAACACACAGACACTCGATAAAAACCCATTATTTAATAAATTGTTTTAAATATCCATTGTTAAAATATCCAATTACTTTTAATTATCCTTAAATTTGTCATCGGTTATGAAAATTACTTCATAAATTTACGTCGTTCTTAATTGGTCTTAAAGACATTTATCTTATTTTTTTCAATATTTATGTACTGTACTGGATAATTGTATAATTGAGCCTCGTAATGTATGTATCCACATACATACACATAAATTACATACTGTACATCTTCGTATCGTATGACATACTTCAAGGGTATAAGACCTTACATTTCTTAGATTACAAATAACATATATTAATTACGAACTTATGTATGTATAAATAATTACTTGAATTCTTAGCAATTTAGCATACTACACCACTTTAATTTCTTGTTTATTTTAATCACGACTCGATTTTAAAAGTTAAAATATAACTCATTATCAATTATTTTCCTTACAGACAAACATTCATTCGTTTCAGGTGATGATTGAAGTGTGAAAATTATAGAAAAAGTCGGATAAAAATTAGCTAATGATGTGCTCTTCATGATCACATAACTGATTCTGCATGGATAGATGTGAAAGAATTCCAAAGTCGATCATTTGGATCGCAGTAACTTTTAGTGCTTCGTTAGTTCTCAGTTTGAAGCCACAGAAAGCATCATTTGGTATCATCGTACCCAAAACATCCTTAGTTACTCAGAAGAGATCGTACGAAAAGAAAGTTAAAGATACAGTAGATAATTTACTGAAGAATCGTTATTTTGATATCAACTTTACAAACAATTATATAATACCTCACGCTGCTGTAGATTATTTTCCATCGAATCCAGCACCGAAAGATATACTGAATCTCCTCTGTGATATATTATCAAAAGATATCCTAACTCTTCTTTATTTTGATAATGCAGAAAGCTATGGAAGTAATCCTGCTGAAGTACAATATTTGTTGCAGTTGCTCGGTTATCTCAAAATGCCCGTAATTGCTTGGAATTCCGAAAATAGTGGACTAAAACAGGTAAAAATTCCTTTTCCTTTTATACAATATGTCATTATTTAAAGTTTCTTTTGCTTGTGTTTTATCGTTTATTGAGGAATTAAGTTTATCCCAATTCCCATTAAAATATATATTTATTTCTGTATAAAATTTCTAGTTTAATAAGATTTAAAATTTTACAAGGTATATTTATAAATTTTTCATTTTAAATTATGTGAGGGTGGAGCATAAAGAACATAGATCAAAATACGAGGTGATTCTTAATGGAGTTTAAGAAGAATTAAAACAGATTTATGATTAAAAATTCAATTTAATTGTTTTTATAAATTTATTTTTTCGAATTTAAAATTGTATTTTCTACATTTTATATCTTTTTTTTAAGAAAAAACACCGATGAAGGAACGACTTGAAAAAAAATATAAAAATATATATCGTTTTCTGTTATACATTTTAGATACAAGAAACCTTACATTTTTGATCATAAATCTGTATAAAATACTGTATAATTTTTCAAAATACTGTTATTTTAAATTGGTTGAATAACAGCTTAAGTGTATTAAAATTTACTTTAGTAAAAGATATATTTATATCTATCTTAAACATAGATGAAGATATATACATGAAAGGTATCAACATCATGAATAAGGAGATGAGTAAATACTTCCTTAACTTTATGAATGTTTATTTACAAAAGTGTTCTATCCAAGTTTTGATGATATATTGATAAATATTTTATGCATCTTTCATTGTTTCGTGAACCGCATTCACTTCCTTCCGTAATATATTCTTAGGAAATTTATTTTGAAATATTTCATCATTTATTATCTTTATGATTGTTTTTATTTTTCTATTGTTTTTGCTTGCTTTTTTCCCTCTTTATTCTTTTGTGTCGACTGTTTTCATTTAAATTCTTTTATATTTATTATAAATTAATAAAATAATGTTTTAATAAATATTAAACAGGATGAGAAAGTGGAAAATCTTTATCTTTAATTAGAAATTTCATTCAATCGATATCGTGAATAACGAATTGCGGTAGAAGTATCTTTGTGTTCGTTTATTGTTTGTTTTTTTTGTTTGCTCATAACCTTATGTCTACATTCATTGTTCGGTTATGCTCATAATCTGATGTCTATGATTATTGTTTGTTTGTTCTTTGGTTTCGGTCATAATTTTCTGTTTTTGTTTATTGTTTGCTAACTGTTCATAATTTTTGTTTTGTTTACTAATTGTTTTCCCCGTAGTCTTTTTCTCCATATCAGTTGTCTCATTATGCTCATAGTTTATTTCTGCTAAGATCTGTTATTAAATTATCTCCATCTTCTGTTTGATATTTAGCTTAATCGATACATACATCCATCTCATGCCCATACCATTTAGTGCCTAGATTTCTCATTTATTCCCGTAAATATATATATTTAAACTCTACACATAGAAAGAATACAGATATAATATAAGCACTATAACATACAGAACATAGAAACATAACTATGCACGTGATCCATCTCTAACTTATGCTTACAGTTCTACTCGTTCTTAAATTATGTCCACAGTTATCTTTCTATGTTTAGCACTTTCGTATGCACATACTTGTTTTATGTTTAGGTTTATTATTTGATTATATCCTTTGAGAAAGACAAAAACATAAGAAGAAGATCAGAGACATAACCAGACTAACGAATCTAAAACACTATAAAACACCGAAATTATTCTTTTTTATCTATGTTTTCTTATCAATTACTCTCTCATACGTCTCCTGTCTAGTTTATATATCATTAAAACAGAAGCTCAGATATATAGTTAAACAACAAACATAAATAAGAGAAAACTGTAAAGAAGTATATATCAATAAAGATGGCTGAACATTCATTAATTAAGAAAACAATAATATAAATACATAGAAACAAACATGGAAAACTAATTATGAGAAACAGAATCTTCAGATTTAATTTACCCCCTTAGAGAAAAGAATTCCAAATATAAAGATTAAGTGAATAATCGTGTTAACTAAATAACCTTTCTAGGATTTCCATCACTAATAACTTAGAAGTTCAAAGTAACGACATGGTCAGCAATTAATTAATTAATTTGCACTTAACTTCATATTCATTTCCGAATAAATAAATGAATTTGTAATAAAATTTTCCGTTCCAACAAATATTCAGAATGAAAATTAATTTTATAATCATTCAATTGAATTTTTTTAAATTCTTTTCTACAGCATTAATTAATTGAAAGAAACGTGAATCAACTTTTAAACTAAGAATATAAAATTAATTTTAAGAAATTTTTTTATTATTAAACAATAGATGGCACTGAGATCTGTATTATGAACCAAGGTCTATATAAGAAGGTCAGGACACGCTCCCGTGATTCTATGCGGCAGCGGCCATTTTGGGACNTTTTTTTAAAGATTTATCTTTAGGCAACAATCCATTATTTTAAAACTCTTTGCATTACGTTTCGATTTGTAACGACCCAAAATAGAATTTTTACATATTAAAAATATAAATCTTTATTTTTCTAAAGAGAAATCTTAAATAATTTAAGTGTTTTCATTCATTTTTTCATTTCGAAAAATTTAAATTATAAAATATTAAATTCTTATGCAGAATTTTCCATTCAAATGAATGCGACGTGAGAGTTTAAAATAATGTTACAATCGATTCTTATGAACTGAAACTTATAAGTAAAAGCGAATTTTATTGATGAAAATTCCGAAAACATTTACAATTTTTAGAACAATTTTATATACAAATAACAATAAATTTAATTTAAAATTCGAAATTTCTATATTATAACATTAAAATGTTTTTAAAAAAATACGGTAACGAGTTGCTTAACTTTCCCGGCAACATTTAAATTTTTGGTGTTGTCATCTGTTACGATATTTTATTTAAAAAATAACTTCTATATTATTAATTATTATAAAATGGTAAAAAGTTTAATTTTGAGGATAGGGATGAGTTTTATTTAAAAAAAAAGAATTGTAAATGCTAATAACGAGTAAAATTTTCGTTAAAGTCAGACCCTATTCGAGATACGATGACCCTCCTTTATCTCTCTACCCCCTCGACCTTTAACCACCAAAATTTAATACCATCGATTCCCCTAATACACGAACCTCCCTGCAAAATTTCAGAAATTTTCGACAAAAAGTACAAGAACCATTAAGCATCAAGGAGGGTGAACAAAATCATGCCCCCCCACACACACTAACATTCATACATACCGAAAAAATCCCCGAATTTTTATGCATTTCTCGACATTTCAAGGTTCTTTGAAACCAAAAATGTAAAAATCTTGGGGGTTATTTTTTGATCGATGGCCATACTTTCCCTCTTTTATATGTAACAAAATTTTAAATTATAAAAGTTAATTTTTAGATAGAATTTTATATTATAACTCACGAAAAAAAAGGAAATTTCAACTTTTAAAATAATGCAAATTAATTCTTTATTAGAAATTTATAGAAAAAAAATCGCATTTTCTAATGGAAATTTATGGATATTAAAGGAAATTTTTTAAAAATCTTTATGATAAACAGTTGTATTTAGTTTAAAATTATATCCTCGATAAACAGATACGATAAAACATAATGACAAATGAAACAATTTAATGTCAGACACATTCTACGACATTACTATTATTGAGTTGGAGTGATAATGTTTTCTCAACACATGCTAAATAATAATTAACGATGAGAAGATGTAACAGATTTTACATTCTACTGCACCCAATTTGAATTATAGAGATAAATATGGAAAAATGATTTAAGTAGGATTACGTGTTTACTTTACATCCCCCTAAGGCTTAATTTTATCATGTAAAAATTTCATTTTTAGCATTTAATTTAATTACAGAAATGAGAATTTAATTCTTTTTTCCCCCTCTCTTTATCTTTTATTAAATCCTTCTGCTTTTAATTTCTTAAACACGAAAGAAATTTGTATATTTTACAACAATTTTGTTTTCGTTTTTTTATATCTTTAAATCCTTATCCTGGAATTTATATATTTTATTCAATTTTTAGTTCTTAAATAAATTCTGTTAACGTCTCGATTTCATTTTCTTTCTTCTAAAAAATTCTCCCCTTTTTTTTAAAGTTTCAACTCTAATGCAATTTAGAATTGCTTTTTTTTGAATCGATATTTTCTTTACATTTTTTGAATTTATTGTCATATTTTATTTAAAATCCATACGTTTTCTTTACTGGTTTTTACAAAAATTCTATCTCTTCGATAAAATATGCAAAGGAATATGTGATAAACTGTAAAAATTTGCGAATTTTTATAGTTTTAAATATTTATGTACATTAATTCTTTCGCTGCTTCAATAGAATTCGTGGTAAATCTTTAACAATCAACGCTCGCAGCACTCAATACGTGATTTAAGGTCACATATCTTGTGTCAAATCCTTACTTGACCTTCAGGTTTGAGAATCTTCATGGAAACTTTAACTTGGTGAAGGTCGCATAGTTCTTCAGAGAAAAATATAAAAAAAATGTATACAGTATATCCTAACTTTCAAATCGAAGATGAGTGGAATGCGAGCCCATCTTCTGAGGAATCTCACTTGAAACCCGTCAAGTGTCCAAAGAATGTTATTTGGCTTTCATTGCTGAATACTTTGTCTTCTTTATCGTTCCATGATGACGTGAACTATACAAATCGACAATATTTGCACTGGTTTGCAATCGTTATTTATATATACTGAACACGAGTTAGGTCCTGAATATTTTCTCCATCGTAAAGTATGAAGCCAAATACCAAGTTAACAATCGATGAGAATAATTTAGTATTTATAATATTTGTTATATTCTAATATGTTAAACTGTCATTTGTTTTGGCAAGAGTTATTTTAAATGAAATTAATTTAAAAAAGAAATTAATAAATGTCCCGTTTAAGCAGATAGGAACGGGCTCAGTTTATATTTATTCATGTTGTGAGTCTGTTTAAACATACCCTAGACAATTATTTTTACCCTATATATTATATTATACCCTAATATATTATACCC